CCCACTTTGCCATACTAACCTGTCACATTCTCTTCTTAACAAATTGCTAATAACTTTTTGACATTTTAAACTGTATCATTTATAACCAATAGAAAGGCATAGTTTTAACATATCAAATGGCTTATAATGATATATTGTTTTCAGTACAAAGTACTGGCAGTTTCATCTTCACTTTGAAAGTTTATCTTGTGGTGTTCAAATTGAGTGTCTAAAGTGAATTGATTTAAGCTGCTCTGGTCTTGAATGAAGAGTAATGGCAACTGAGGTTCAAGTAACTGTAATTTTACAGCAGTGAGTACTTGCAACTGATATTTATGTAACTGTTACCGTAAACTTACAGTGGATTGTCTAGTACCATGTTACTGTACAAATACAATTAACTTGTAATTCTAAAAAAATATGAATGAAAGTAAAGGGAGAATATGTTATGTCAACAGGGGCATAGCTGGATGTGGGAACTGATTTGACCACTCTAATATTCTACAAAATCTAATAGGTCCACTATCTTCTAATTCTTTTTAATAAACTTGTGATACTCTTACTTTTGAGTACTTTTACAAATTTTCCCCCACATAAGGCACAAAGGGCGATGCTTTCAATCACTGGTTTCAAGTGCCACAAGCAAATAAGAATGGTGATGCAATTCGCTAGATGGGATGCCAGGCTATTGCAGGTTGTACCTCAGCTATTAGCTGGTACTTATCATAAAACTGGGCAGCTTGGAAAAAATGGCTAAAATGTCTTGCTTAAGGACACAATAGTATAACATGGGCCAGCCTCAAATTTGCAACCATTCTACTACAAGTCAAATGCATGAAGCCACTAAGCTAGGGTAAATCACTTCTTCATGCTGACAACAACTACTGATGTATGTACCTAATAATTGAACTTAGTAATACATCACTTGTATATACCTTCCTCCCCCCACTCCCCCAGTAAAATTATACCAACTGAATCAGTAATCCCCATTCTGCTAAATATCTATAAAAACTAGACGAATACTTGCAACTATGCTGTTGCTTATTAAACAGAAGGAAAGATGCTCTGGAAAGAACTTTTTCAGATTAAGAAAATGATATTCTAAACAACTGATTACAGAGTTTTAATTTCAATACAACAATTGTAGAGCATATTCTAATTACCCAAAAAATTTCATGAAGTTGCATTTTGTAACTTTAACCCCATTAAATTTACCCTCTAAAATAGTAGTGTTCTGTATAAGTCACTATCTGCTCTGCTCTGCCTGATGTTTTCTTAAGTGTTATGCAGCATCAAACACTGCTATTTTGATGGCAAATAATGGAGAGATAAATTTAATTTAATTGCATACTAGTAACATTTTAGAGTAACTAGAAGATGCTATAACACTTTTGCATCATGATCAAAACTCTATAACCAATGGTTTAAAAATTAATGTTCTCAAATTTGAGCACTTCTATCAAGTTCAAATTGAATATACCCCTTATATATCTGTCTTTCCTTCTATGTAACAATAAACAACAGTCTTGTTGCAATATTTTATGAATTAAGAGACATTTAGCTGAATTGGGTATTTTTCTTCACCCTGTGTAAAAGTAAGTCTCAAAGCAAGAAATATTTAGCAAAGTTATTGATGCTTGTCTTCATAGCAATATTAAGGACAATCTGCTTTTGAAATCAACAAAGTATTTTTGGGGTTAGCTGCTATGGATAAGCAGAAAATCCTATATGTATTCCAGAATACATATAGTGAAGTTTCGCTTGCAACAAGTCTTATATATATTCTTACATTATACTTTCACATAACATTAGCAGCTGGAGCTACAAAAATATTACTTCAAGCAAGAAGTTAGGGATCTTGCCTTGGTGAAAGCAAAAATAGTGAAATTTCCATAACTGAAAAAGTTTTGAATTGACACAATAATCTTTTGTTAGCTGTTACTGTAGTCTTTCCTCAGGTTTTAATAGATAAATATAAGTTGGTTGTCTCATGTTAGGTGTTAATGTAACACTTTTTGAGGCTTTAGTTTGTTTTTTTGTAGCTAAGTGCACAGCTGTATGGTGTTCTATCTGTGCTTTGCTCACAGCAGGTATCAAAACCTGAATTTTAGCATTATAAGCCATAAAATGAAATTTGAGATTTAAATGTTGCCTTGGATAGCAAAATAGCATCAGGCCTATGGGTGACTAAAGTTTCAAGTAGTGCTTAGTCTAAGTGCATCTGAAGTTTGTTTCAGTTAGCACAGAGTCTATGTGCAACTAAATTTTTAGATGGCACCAGGCTTGTGTGTGACTAGTTTCAGACTCATTGCTCTGTAACTGAGGAGATGTACAGTATAATGTAAAAAAAATATTTTTCTATTCTCAAATTCTTTTCTTTTTTATTTAAAACATAATTCTGCTGTGTCAAATTTAAATTCCTGTAATTCACTAACAATACCAAGGCTTTTCAATTTTCACAAGATGCCAAGGTAAGTTCCAGGCAGTGTCGCAGTTAGAGGGGGTGTAACCCATGCAATTGCATGGAGTCCTCAAGCATAAATAAACCTTTAGCCCCTAAGGAAGAGCCTCCAGCATCGCAGTATTGCATGGGGGCCTAAAAGGGTCTAACTCCAGCCCTGGTTCCACAGTTATGTGATTGTTTTAAGATGTCAGTTTAAGTCCATGTATTTCACTAACAATACCAGGGTTATATGATTGCGTCAAGTTTTGCTTGGAGAACATTTAATTTTATTTAGAAATATCATTTATCAACAGCTTGATGTTGTCACCATGGGTGTTTATAATTCCACTTTAATTATAGAATTAGTTATCAATGCTAATTCAAATTCCTGCTGTAAATCTTTTTGTGGCATTAAGGTTTTGTATTGATGATTGGTGTGATGTTGAAAATTGTGTTGGCACATAATATTGTAAAACATGCTTGTTCAATTTCACATAGGAGCAAGAATGTAGTGTTTTTTATTTTTTTAATATTTTGATTATATGTTCACCATATTCTACTATTATCTCAATTGTTTGCTGTAAACCTACACATATATAATGGAAGTGCTTGACTGAGAAAATTGGGGCCTCTGTGAATGATGAGGAGGCCTTTAGAACTTGCATGAAGCACAATTATTTTATGCTAGTTTGTGTTAATGATTGCCCCGATAATGACATTCTTGTGTACATTGAAACATGCAGAATCATACAAGGATAAATTTATTTATAAAAAGGAGAAAAAAATATTGTACTCAACTCATATCATTTTATTAATTATTTTGATAACATATTGTACAAAAGTATTATTGCTACACCTGACATGAGTCATGAATCTCTGGTGTATGTAAAAATGCATTAATTGTTTCTACAAATTATAGTCAGATGTTTCAGTTTCAAAAATAATGTCACATTAAATTTCAGGAAATAATATGAAAATGCCAATTATAGAAAGTACTTTTGGACTTAAATATAAATTTTCTGAATGTTAAACTGAAGATCTAGAAAACTGAAGCTTCCCTTCTAATTTTCATTTTACAGAGGAGATGCTGAAATATAATGCTGAGATTGGAACTCTCTTGATAAAATTGATTTTTGCCAGACCCTTGAAGAACAATGAATGGCGCTGTTTGAAAATGTCTGGTAGTTTTAATACTTAGCTGGTGTAAACTTTTAACTGACATTGTAATTTTATACTTTCAGCGAATCGCTCCTTTCCACAACTACTTCTTATTTATGCATTTAAATTTGTAGGTGAAGTATTGACAACATTAACGTAACTATTTAATAGTTGTCATTTTTAGGCTGCTGCTTCTCTTTAGTTCTAATAGCACAAAAAGGTGTGCTATTAGGTCTGAAGGAAATAATAAAAAATTACTTATGAACTAGTTGTAACTGCCAATATTTCTGGCTGTAACTTGTTGGCAACAAATTTCAATAATAAATGGACAGCACACAATCCACTTGTTTTAAAATAATATATTCAAAATAAGTCAAATGTATGTATAAAAAAAATCATAATACTATTGGTTATCACAGTTGTATCCAGAGCTTTAAATAATCGTATCTTTTTCGACACAGGCAAGTTCAATTACTTTAGAACACCCTTTTACAAGACAGATTATTCTCCTCTACTCTGTTATTACAATACAAGGCTGTGATATTCACTTTGAAATCACTACTATAACTGTCAGTTACCACAGTTGCATCCAGAGCTTTAGATAATTGTCTCCATTTCAACAAAAGTCCACACAGGCTGGTTCAGTTACTTTAGAACCTCAGTGAGAAGACGAATTATTCTTCTCTACTCTGTTATTATAACACAATCTGTGAAACTCACTTTAGAAGTCATCTGTTATGGCTAAACACATGCATTCTAACTTCACTTTCACTAACTTACTTGCACTAACTTGGATGCTTATATATATATATATATTGCCCGACTGAGGCCTCAGACTTTCTCAAACTACAAGACGTTATGATATAACAGTACTCACTTAAAGCAATAAGAAAAATTCAGAAGGTTCGAACTGTTCAACAAATGATTCATAAAAAGTTATGTAAGCAAACTTATAATAACTATTGCTTCTAAAAATATATTAATTTAACACTTACATAATATAAACTAAATAATACTCTCATATTAAACTGAAAATGGACAGTCATGGGGTATCTAACAATTTCATTTTTTCTTTTTTAAGTGTTTTGTATCATACCACCCCAAATGATTTCAGATAGCCATGCTTTAGAAATAGTTATAGATATCATGCCAAAGTTATTTTTGAATGATATTGATGTTTTCTAATATCAGATAAGGCAGCATGTTTCAAAATATGACCAATAAATTATTTTATATGTTGTGTAGCTCATCCTCATCAGCTTTTTAGTAGCTAACTACAAAGGTAGGAGCAGATTGTAACTGAAAGACCAAGAATGACTTAGTTAGAGAGGAAGACATGCAAATAATTTATATGTGATCAATAGCTCTCTATTTTATAACTTATGATCAGCCAGCATAAATACCTTTTTTTTTCCCTTAGGGTGGAACTCCAGTATGGGAAGATTTCATAGGAAAGGCCATAAAACTTCATTCACAGTTAAGGTAAGAAACTGAAAAAAAAAATTAAGTGTAAGATTTAGAAAAAAGGAATCAAAGAAAAATGAAACCACCAATACTGTTAGATTTGTGATGTAGTTATATTTGATATTATTTTTTTGAAAAATTTTGAATTTAAATCAAGATGTGTATGATATGTTGTACAATGGTATTTAATATTGTTTTGGGTGAACGTTATTTATTCACAGTGTTAGTGATATAATGCAAGTCTGGTTATAGACATGATCAAAGAATAAGATTGTGATATTCTCTGGTGCATGGATTTTTCTGAAGCAATCAATTAGAACCCACTACTTGGAGGTTTGGAAAATATCTTGCTTCAGAATATGAGTTTGTGTCTCTCTTTGAGTTTGTCAACAAAAAAAGAAGCAGTACACAAGATATACAACAAAACAAACCTTATTTAACAATCAAAATCAAAGGACAAACACAGTACCCAGTTATTAAAAAGAGGGAGCCAAGCATTTGTTATGATTATGTTGAATTGTTAAAGAGAAATGTGTGATAAAATCTTTAATAGATCATTCATACCAGTCCAAAGTGAGCCCCACCCCTCTTTACACTAACAGAAATAATATGAAAATGTTAAAATAACCCCTGACATTAAAGTAAAATGAAATTAACTCTAAATAAAGAAGAGAGAGTGTACAATTTATATTGCTAAAGTTAAGACTACCTTAGACTCTTAAAACTCTCTGACATTAAATTGCGAAAAACTCTGAAGAATTTGCTTAACATGAGGGAACATGGCTTTAGATATTAAACATAATGATATAAACAAAGTCAGTTTTGTTGTGCTTTACATCTTGTATATTGCTTCTTTCTTTGTTGAAGAATTCATTCAGAGTTTAGAGAGTGACATGAACTCCTACTCTGTGGCGTGTTATCTTTCAAACTTCTAGTTAACCCCTTCCAGATGGTCAGGGTCAAAGGCCATGTCACCTTGTTTGTTGACTCGCATTCAAAATTTTATTGAACTACTATTTCATGAATTTATGTTAATAAGTTTGGTATCAAACTGTAGATTATAATTCAAATTTTACTATAATACATTATTCAATTTCTTAATTTAAAAGTAAATATTAAAAAAACACAGTTAAACATGAATTTTTGTGTGTCACATGGTATGTTGAATGCAGCACTGGTTAAATTAGATATTTATGATGTCAAAATACTAAGTCTGAAGTTTTGTACAAATTAAAAACTCAAATTACCGATATTGAGAAGCTAGAATATAAAATAAGAACCACATATCTGTTCAGTTTGCCGAGATATTGCTGTACTGAATCAAACACAGTGGCTTCGCTTACCTCTTTCCAATTTTGGAAACAATCCCTTATATACACTTACTTCGATATATGACATGTAAATAACCAATCGAAAGTTCATAATGTTCCCCTAGTGGATTTCTCAGGCATTTTAAAATGTTAGGATAACGTCTCATTTTTTTCAAACCAAGATTTCAAGGAGGTAGATTGCATCTTTAGTCTGCTCGAAATTTCATATTTTTTAAACCGAAATACAGCTTAGTTATTAAGCTTGATAACTTGTAGTGGAATTCCATGGTATCAATATAATAATTTATGATTTTTTGGTCATTCAACTATATATATAAAACAAAAAAAATATTTCATTTCATATCCTCGACGTACAAAATTTTTAAAGGCTTAGCAACCTACGTCAACCAGCAACCGAGTACAAAGGTCGTAACTAGAAGAAATAATTGTTTGCTTCTACTTTTTTTTTTTTTTACTGTTCTATGTCTTAAGAAAAAATAAATTTAAGAATTTATTTCTAAGTAATAATAATCCATATGCATATATAATGTATAATAACTGAAATGTGACTATATTTTACAAAATACTAGTCTACTAAAACACAGCGAAGACAGGTCACTTTGTAAAGACTAAAGATCAGTTTTATATTATTGGATATGATAACAAGAGAGTAACTGCATCATTGTAACTTCTGTATTATTATCCAGGCATGGCTGAAAGGTCAGTATAATAAATATATGTAAATGTACAATGTTATGAGATTTAAGCTATTTAGTCTAAATATTTATATTTTTGTGTTGTAATTTGTTGTCATTCTAGAATGAAAGAGACATAATTTATATTCCTAATTTTTTATGATGGTTACAAGATCAGTCAAATCTAACAAACGCATACAGAGATTTGTTAGTGAAAATAACAGATAAAATATAGTTTTTCCTTAAGAAACATTTGATAAATATCTGAACATTATAGAGATTTTGCATTTGAAATTTTTCTGATGCATACTTTTCATTTTCTCTTCTTATATATTAAAAATTATATCATTATTCTGTTGTAATTACTGAAGATGGAATTTTGAAGGTTTGGAATCATTTAATAAATGCTTCATATTAGTACATTTGTGTTTTGCTTTATTATTAACAACTTATGGTATTTATTCTTCTATATGTTTCATTTTTAAATATCAAAATAATTTATTAGATATTTCACAATATTATACTTTAGAGATGATCCTATGTCCTTTGACAAAAGCCTGATTAAAAAAAAACTTTTTTTTCATAACGTTACCCCAAGTTTTAAGTTGAATCAAAATTTATTCTTGCCTGGTGATTTATTTCTTCTTTCTCATAGAAAGGTGTTTTTTATTTTTTTAATTAGAAAAATTTAATGTTTGCCTTTGATGTACACTGAACAATAAGGAGAACCAATAATAACAGTATTGAATTTTTCTTGATATTTATTTTTCTGCCATTAAATAAATCTCTTTTTGACATAGTAAATAATGGAAGCAATTTCTATTACCAGGAATACAATCTTAGCTTCATCAGTGTTTTTGGACTCTTTTCAAAGGGTGGCTGATATGGCAACTGGCACCAAAGGTAAATTTTGACGTTGCTTCTTCCGTATCAATTGATTTCAATCAAAATTGTTTGTTAGGTTATTGCAGAATAATGAATGAGGCTTCATTTGTGTTTTGTATAATATTTTGTGCTGTTTCATTAATTATTTTCAACATGTTTTTATTTATACTGTGTGTGTGTGTGTGTGTGTCTGTGTGTGATAAATAATGTTTCAGGCAATCGGGGTAGAAACAAAGGATGCATGTGAAAAACAAACAAAACAAATGTTGGAAAGCAAAAATGTACCTTAGTAAGAGAGATACAGTGGTAAAAATATGTAATCTACCAGATTTAACCTCTGTTTGCAAGCCTCACACAATAAAAATAAAGAACAGGTATGGTATTCTAGTATATAACATCCTACATTTAAAACTAGCATTGATCATTTGCAACCAGCAGTGGAAAGGTAGTGCTCCTAACAGAATGGTTTATCTGTACCCCTGTATGAGTTATACTTGGGTACATCTCTCACTAAGGTGCATTTATCCTTCCCCCCCATGTAGTTTGTACCTTATCTTTATTTGATATTATCAAGAAAAGTGATGATACAAAGCTAGGAGTTACATTCTAGAATAGAGTTAAATTACTCAAGAGACAGTAAAAATGCTTATGATTATAGATCCATCCGTATTGATCTGCAATGTAGAAATTTACAAAAATTGGTAATAAATAATTAATATTTCGAGATAACATTCATAACTAACTATAAGGAAGAAGTTACCTGCACCCTTAAGAAGTATTATGAAGAAGTTTTAATAAAGAAATTCACAGATAAAGTAAGGGTATGTGAAGAAAAATAAGCTTTTAATTTTCAGTATTATTGTGATGGTTTATCATACCTGTTAACCCAAAAGGGATCATGCCTTCTCAACTTAGACATCTACACCATGAGACAGTATACAGTTCTGTTAAGAGAAGCAAATTTTAGTTTAGTTTTCTCTATATTTATAGGTAATCATTATATCCTACTTTTATACAACAATTTGTTTCTTTTATTTTTTTATAACAATTATCCTCACATCAAATGTTTTCATAAATTTTTTGTTTAAGTATGACAAATGAATATTATGATCCTTGGTACCATTTATTCTTATTATTTTTATAGTTTAAATCGTGCACTCTCATCATTGAGCTATATGTTTAATTTTAATTACTTCTTCAGATTGTTTCTTCATTTTAATACCTTTTTGTAAGTCACACTTGATGACGTGAAGGAATATCAAAATCTGTAAGACCTGGCATGGCCTGTTGATTTGGATGTTTAATTCATAATATGCAGTTAAAGGGTTTGAATCTTCATCACAGAACATGCTCACTCTATTAGCTGTGGAGGTGCTATAATGTGATGATTAATCCCACTGTTTGTTAGTAAAAGAGTAGCCCAAAAGGTGGTAGTGGGTGGTGTTGATTATCTATCTTCCCTCTGTTCTATTACTGCTAAATTAGAGACAGCAAGCACAGATAGTCCTGGAGCTGCTTTTCGCAAAATTCAAAACAAAACAAACCCACATCTGTAAGGCGTAGACATCATGCAAGTAATGAATGGATCATTTACTTGTACAGAAGTTTAATTTTCAATTATGGAATTATTTATACTGGCCTTATAATTTTTAAATATAGTCTATAAGGATTTGAGTAAGAGCAAGGATCTCTAATTTTAAAGGTTTTTGAGACTTGATGCTTTTTTAGTAGGATCATTTTTTATTAAAGACAGTTTATTGGACTCTTATCAGAGTCTATTAAGAGTGGAAATAAAAAGGAAATACCACAACCATTGAAAAAATGTGTTGCTCCCAACTACTGAGACTGGAAAAGGGAAAAAGATGAGTGATGGATAGGTTTGTAAAATTCATCATATGTCAGACTATGCACCATTTGTTGATGACTTGTGTTTCATACTGAGTGTGTTAGAGAGGACATTTTCATAAACATCTCGATACTAGAGAAAAACATTATCATCTTGGACAGAAAGTGTTCAAATAAGTCTGATAGTTTTACTTTTTATCAATCACACATATTAAACCATAGCCTGAAAACAAACAAAAATAGATTTATAATGATTTTTTTTCATTACTCAGAAGTTATTCCATGATTATGCAAAAGCTGATATATAAACTACAGATCTATTCCTTATTGTTTATACTTGGAAACTTAATTAGGGTAAGACAGTCAGGTTTATTGTTAAATTATGAATAATAATATTATTCATGAAGAGATGTAATAAGTTAATACTTTATTGAATAAATAGATTGAGTAAATAGGGAGGAAAGACCTTTCCATAAATTGTGCCTGGACTTGCTTCATTGCTATAGGGTTTTGTACCCTTAGGAGATTGCCGTCTTCCAATATAAACATTAAAATAAACAGTATTAAAACTTAAGCAATGAAAAATAAAATGTAGTATGCCTATTAGCTAAATTTTATAGAGGAAAACAAATGTTAAGTATCCTTCCATCAGCTCATCACTTTTCCATGCTATAAGAAAATGATTGCTTTTAATGATATTGCACAGCAAGGAATTATAAGTAGAGAAATAAAGTAAAAAAAGAGGTTAATAATAATAATACATTACAGAAACTCCATTCTTATAGTGATAAAAACATTAATACATTCAATATTGACACATTGAAAAAATAAACTAATGTTGATGCTAGAAGAAAGTCTGCAAGAGTGCATTATAATCATACAGTTTTAATGTCAAATTTATTGTCACAAGTCATTAATAACATTTTGGAAGTAAACTGACTTTTTGATTTTACTCTTTTGTAAGATTTACATATTAAGAACTAAAGAAAGTCAATCTTTTGCAGGAAACTCAACACATTCTATTTTAACACTTGTATTTTAATTTTGTGATGTTTTATGATAGTCACTGATACCTATATTATCACTAGGAAATGTTACAAATACTTCTCTTTTTTCAAGTATGTTTATCTTTGTTTTTAGTCTTTTAAGCATCAGCAATCTGTGATAAAGTTGTCAAACTGAGAATACAAGGGAAAGTAAAACTTCTGTTTTTTCTTGTAAGACTAGAACAACTTTATTTAATATACGTTTTTTATATTCAAGACTAAACTACATATTCTGAGAAGAATAAATAACATTTTGTTTTTAGCTATTTGAATTTATATCAAACAGTTATTTTTTAACTATGTGAAAATGTGAACATACTTATTAGGCATAATAAAATAGGTGAAAATTCATTTTAAACCAAAATGTTTTTATAACATTCTTAATATTACTTCATTATGTATTTCAAACCAGATGTTCCAATCAGTAAGATAATAATCATGAAAAGTATAATATATTTATTTTACATATTTAATATAAATATTAGAAAAAAGCATCTCATTGTGCCTTTAGGTTATGTAAATGAATATAAAATTAAGGTTAAGAATTGTTAGACTTAGTACAATAAAAATATACTACTCCTAACAGAATTTTCTTTTGTTACTGAAAACTTCATAGTATTAGCCCTTGTAATTAATAGAAGATGAGAACATTCATTTTTACTTGTTAAAACAGCAGGAAAATAGACTATCACTATTATAACAGTATGACTTAATATTATCTTATTGTGTAGGAAGTTCAGTTAAATGTTGTTATATCTCAAAACATGATAGTTTTAAACCATAAAATTAATAGAAAAGCTGCATTTGTTTAGCTTTTACTTAATGATAAAAATAGGGTAAATAACACACGTAGGTTTTATATCTGAATTAGAGATAAAATTAAAAATTACATTGTCATATTTACAGTGTTTGAAAAATTATCTTTATTAAGTCGTGAATGTTCTGTTAGTTGTAATTCTGATAATAGTTTAAAAGAGATACATAACTCTTTGTTTGTCCATTTGGATTTGGTTTTAACAAACATTATTTGGTAGGCACAAAGTTCATTACTGAAAACAATTAACTGTAAAGGACACAAAATCTGATCCATGGAATGAAAAAAGAAAAACATTTATTGAAGATGACACTTAAAGTGAAAACAATCCTGCTGAAAAGGTATAGCTTTGATGAAAACAGTCTTGCTAAAAGGAATATTTGTTTTTCTGAAAACAGTTCTGAGAAAGAAGATGCCTGTGATGATAAAAAAAAAGTTTTGTGACTATATTTCCAAACAAAGTGATAACTCTGGTGAAGATGATGAGTCTTAAAATAGGAAGTATATTGCATAAGTAGCCATTGTAGACTGATGTATTTACAGGCTTTAACTAGTGATATGAAAACAGTGACGAACCAGAAACTGACATGCTGGTGTTTGAGAGAAACATCTTGAGAGAAATTAAACAACTGGCATATTACAAAATTTTACTAAATATTATAAAAAGGTTTAGAGAAGAATACCAAAATGTTTATTATCCTGTCAGCAACTCAAACACAATTCCATTCACATGTGCATCATGCAAAACTAACAAAAACTTAATGAAATAAAATGAATATGATGAGCTGAAAGTTATTCAAGCAGCTGTGAGAAAAATGTTCTCACAGTATCAACCATTGGATTGAATATGTAAAGTTTTAAATTAACCATGTATGGTATTAAATGCCTCTGTCACTGTCAAAAGCTTAATAAACTTTAGGTTATTTGTCCCTGGTGTGCATGAAACCTTATAAACCCATTTTGTGGTCATTTAGGTTTTCTCTGTACTTTGCTGATCACTGTATTTCAGAAATTTAGCAACTAATTATCAGCCAGGTAACAACCCCCTTAGCTATTTCCTTATACAATTAGTTAATCTGCTTTTTCTGTTTCATACATGCACAAACTGGGATCCATCACAAAATGTTAAAATAATACCATATTTTAAAAATATAATTAGTGATCAGTATTTCCAGTTAATATGAAAATGATTTGACCAATTATAATCAGTTGTGTCCATAGTTTTGTGAAAGTGTACTATTCTGTCACATTGATGAGTTTTGTACTATCACTTGATGAGTATATATTGGTAAATTACATTATGGGTATGTCTA